CTAATACTACTTTTGGCTTTCGGTATTTCGTTCCAAGTTAAATTATTTCTCGTTTTTGTTGCGCTACGAGTTTACCCTTGTGGGCCTCAGTCTCGATAAGGTGGGAACCACCACCATTTAAGCGTCTCTCGAATTTTGAATAAACATGGGATTTAATTGGTTTCTATGGAATGCTTTAAAAAAGAGTGGATTTGAGATAACGATGTAAATATATTTAATGTATTAAGACTTTTTTTAAATTTTATCTTGTCTAATAATTCAGATATTATTGGGCAACCAACTTATGAAACACCCGATATATGGTAATGAAGTTTGTTTTACAATATTTATGGCATGCCCACTTGTGTACTGTGTAGTGGCTCCTACTCCTATGTTGATATTCTACTGGCGGAGGTGTAATTTATACCATATTGAGATATATTAATGGCATACCTGTGTAATATTTTGCATATTGATTGGCATATTTGTGTATTGATTATTATAATGATATATTAATGGCATACCTGTGTAATATCATGTTGATATATTAAAGGCATACTCATGTAAAAAGTGTATTAAGAAAGTTTACTGGCGTACCCGTGTAAATGTTTAACATGGATCATATTTGTGGAACTAGTTGCCACAATTATTTTTCCTAATAACTTACTTATTTTGGAGGGTTAAGGAGTGTAAATTAGATTGTATAGATCCCAATTTTTTTCTCTTCTGCTTCTTTATCATATTTGCCTTGATGCCACAAATACCTCCCATGCACGGATGGCACAAATATTGCCATACGTGTATACGTGTATGTGTGTGCGTACGTGTTTGTGCGTGTGTGTGTGTGTGTGCGCGTGTGAGTGTATGTGCGTGTGTGTGCGTGTGAGTGTATGTGCGTGTGTGTGTTTGTGTGTGTGTGTGTGTGTGTGTGTGTTTGTGTGTGTGTTTGTGTGTTTGTGTTTGTGTGTGTGTGTGTGTGTGTGTGTGTGTGTGTGTGTGTGTGTGTGTGTGGGCGTGTGTGTGTGGGCGTGTGTGTGTGTGTGTGTGTGTGTGTGTGTGTGTGTGTGTGTGGGTGTGCGTGTGTGTGTGTGTGTGTATGTTTGTGTGTGTTATTTGTAATATAATTATGTATTATTTTTATCCCATACATAATTTCTCTAAAAGAGACTGTATTCGAGATATTTGAGAAAATATTTAAATTTCGAATTTTGAAGAAAAGTCAAAAACGGATAAAGAAAAAACATTAAATTATAAATTTAAGTTTTATTTCGGCCTGAGGTGAAATGATTAGATTTTGGACAAAGTCGGAGCATCTGGGGATACTTTATAGGAGGTTGTTTTTATATTTTATGGAATATATTTGTTACTAATGTTTGGAGAAGAAAATTGTTCCAATAAAAGTTACTTCTATTATCTATAATTTTTTCTTTGTACCAAATTTTCCTGAAATTGTCCGTATTCGAGAAATTTAACATAATATGCAAAATTCTGATTTTTAAGAAAGTTGTTAAACTAAAAGTTGTTTGCGTTATCGATCTCTATAATTTTTTTTTAATGATTTTTCTAAAATAGACCGAAATAGCAAAATTAGAGGAAAAGTGTAAATTTAAATTTTTTATTATTTTCGTTTTCAATTAATATCAGTAGATAATATTTGTATGCGGAGCAGCGGCGCAGCGCAAGATGGCGGTCGGCACATCTGGCGGCCACCTGTTTCCGGCCACCTGTTTCCGGCCACCTGTTTCCGGCCACCTGTTTCCGGTCACCTGTTTCCGGCCATATGGTGAACACATGACGGCCATCTGGCGAACACATGTTGTAATTTGATGGGAAAGGTAAACACATCTGAAGACCACATACATAGAGAACATTTGGAGACCAGCTGCATAAAGAACATCTGGAGACCATCCTACACATCTGGAGCCCATCTGGAGATTTTTTATACAGTCACCTGCATCCAAGCAACTCTGTTTACAGGCCTTTTATTTTTTTGTTATTTTATATTGGTGGGGTGAGCCTTTCAATAGTACTTAAGCAATATTTACCTCCTTTACTCAGAACTGCAAAACCTAAACTTGAGCAATATGAGTTATCGGTGTGTCACTCCTGAAATTCTGTTTCAGAAGACAGATAATGAGGTTAAGCTCATATACAAAACATCAACCCTTCAAGATCTCTCAGCAAATTCGTTATATTGGGCTTTTAAAGACATAAATCCGGAAATCATCGGGATACGTGATAAAAAATTTGTGATACCCCAGTGTATAACGGACCTATTAAATTTATACGCCATGGTGCAATTAAAGAAGCAAATTTATAAAAATGAACGTTAGGTGCGTCACTCCAGAGGACCCAGGATAAAGTTTCAGCAATAGATGTTTTGAAGAGACAAATTTATAAAAATGAACTGCATCACTCAATATAAAGTTAATAAGTATGTAAAAAACCTATTAAACGTTGTAAAGAGGCAATATAAATAAATAAATTATTGTGACTACGCCACTGTGCCACTACTGAATTTAAGACAGAATTTAGCCCGGAAATTAATAAAAATGAATAAAATATTACTCGCCACTGGTATTTCAAATTAAGACAGAAATTCATGGTAAAAAATGTTTCCATTATTTTTATGAATGCTTTATTTGCTTCTAAAATAAAAATAGAGAATTTTAAGTGACTGTGATACACAGCTGCGTTCACACGATTGTAGAATAAAGGAAATTATTTTTTAAATTTATTTTTGTCTGGCTTGGCAGCTGTTATAATGTTATGCCATTAAAGACAGTGTATGCAAAAGACATTTTTCTATTTTTTAAGAACTTGAAATAAAACTTAGACATTCAAGATTTATATAGGTTCATGAGAAAATTTTCATGAGAACATGTTTTAGCGCAAAAATAAGAGGGCGTTAATTAATTTTTAAAAAGAATGCACTTATAGCATTGGTCTAAATAATAAGACTTTTTATTTGAATGATACTTGTACAGAGTTTAAGGCGTGGATAAATTTTTTGTACATTAGAAAATATAGTTAGCACCAGTATTCGAAATGGATGAACACCCGGGTTTGCCAAAATTACCCCCGAAATGTCCACATCATTTAAGTGAGAGCAGTATTATATGTGCATTATCTAATGTATTTTACTTATATGAGAATTTTATTATGCAATAAATATATATTTTTTAACATTTGTTTTATTTTAGAAATAAAAACCTATAAAATAATTCTTTATTTTTATCTTACTACTGACATGCATAAATAACAATTTGATTGCGCTGGTGCTGGCCCATCCACATAAGTTTGAATCTCTGGTCTATTGTGGTGTACAAAACAGGGGAGCCGGGTCCCTACCACAAAATCATCCCTGGCTTCAATGGGTAATTTATGCCAAGACATCAACAGTTCCCAAGGAGTAGCATATTTTCTCAAATATTCAACACTAAAATTCAATAATTCTTCTTGTGTGAACATATGCAGCGGTTTTCTCGAATGTTGGGCGATTAGGGCACCCTTCGTGCAACATTCCATTTTTGACTTCCACTTCTTTTCTTCCTCACGAGAAATGAAAAATAGTCTCTCTTCTTTGGGTTCATAAACTTTACCACTGCGTAGGCGCATCAGTTAAAGAGAGTCTCGAAAAGTTTTTAAACATAAATTTACTTTGGTATTCACTTTCTAATTTTGTAATAGTTTTCTTCAACTTTTTGATTTTTCTTCTATTTTCGTAGAGTTATTTGATGTTTCACCTTTATAATGCCCTGGGTAAACCTTTTGAGTCTTCTACTAAGCACCGCCAAACTCATAATGTTTATTGAAATGAGCTGTTGATGCTTATATGTAGTCGCTCCCACTTGTCTAGACTTGTTTGGGTGTTAGGTCATGTGCTAGTGGCCTTGAACTCATGTGAGAACTCACCAGATGGTAGACCGAAAGTGGATGTCTAGATACCACATGACCGGCGGAGCGGTCATTGAACTAGGTCACCACGTGATGATCGTGGTTTCATGTTTACTAATTCCCATGAGTTCTATGGGAGAGGGAATATAAAAGAAAATCGTTAATAATTTTTAGTTTAGTAATGTCGAGCGAAGACTTCGGTGATCTTTTGGATGTATTTTATCCTCCGAATAAGTATAAACTCGAACGAAAACTGTGTTTGGTTTGTCATTCAGTGAAATCTAGGATGGTCACAAAAACAGAGCAGAAAAAGCAAATTTTAGTGTTTTGTAAAAATTGTGTGCAAATAAGACCGGTTTTCATTACTTATGAAGACTTAGTCGATCCATATAAAATATGTAAAATTATATACAAATATAGGATCTTGGACACCAATGCTTTTTAAATGGAAAACATGAACTTCATGATAAATCCACATGTAGATGTGATAGGAGTGCCGAAGGAATAAGGCGGAGGGAAGAAGCTAACGAGAAACGGAGACAATTTTACAAAACAGAACGGGGAATTGAAATTAGGAATAATTACAAAGAAAAACAAATTAGGAAAAAGAAACTAATTACAAGTTTACTGAAAATGGGCCTAAATAAAAAAGCTGAGCTTCAAAGAGAGACAATTTTGAAACTCATTGATTTACTGTAAATACTTAATACTGTTACTTTAAAAATATAATTTTGAATTAAAATATATTTTATTTTCATTGTCCAATGTTGACTGTACCCTATTACCAATAACTTTCTCTCATTTAAATTATTAGCAATATTTGTCCAATCTTTACTTGAATGTCCACACCAGCACTCTACTGTCCAGAGTGAACTACATGTTTTCCATTTAGAAAGCATTGGTGTCCAAGATCCTATGAAATTCTTCATTTAGCAAACGCATACGGAAAGGTGCTTTAAAAAAATTGTGTATAATTTTTTTCCCATCAAAAGTAGCCAACTCCTTGCAAATAAATTTGTTTTTTTCAATGATAAAATCCTGAACATCTAATGTTAAATGCATCTTGAAGACTAACTAGTGATGTTATCTAGCGAGAATTTATATTACTGTTTTAAACATGCGCTTTAAATCTGTTTAACAATTTTTGTTAGTGGATTGTAAGAAAATTCTTTCTCATGTAAAATCAGGCAGTAAGCAGATACTTCATTACCTACATTATTGTCGGTTTCAAATTCAATTCTGAGAACAACTGACCCACTCTGCAAAATTTCTTTTTGGCGTGAGCAATCAATGTGGACTATAGGAGCATTATTTTTAAATTCTTCTGGTGTAAATATTGGTTGATTTGTTTGAATATGATAATAACTTTCTTGGAAATTCGCAAACATTTCATATAAAGTTGCAAAGCGATCAGTATTAAAATCAAGATGTAAATCCTGATATGGGTACCGCTCAGAATTCAAAAAAGCACGTATATTTGTTAAATTGAGATGATCAAATTTACTCATATCTTTTAAAAGTTTGCCTTTTCGGGCATTTTGGAATGCTACCACGATATGTCTCGGGCTTTCTATCTTTGTAGTAGTTTTAACAGGCCAGGTATGGCGTGTTGCATTAGACAAAGCTGGATATTCAATTAATTCCCAACTTCTAAACATTAGAGGTAGATCAACATTACTTCTAATTATTTTATTTAATCGAATTTGTTCTTTGATACTAGGTGTTATATGTGGAACATTCCAACACACTTTGATGATGTCTATTTTTGGTTTTTTCGTATCATCTGTAGCAATTACTCCATCAATGTCAGCTTTTTCGCGAATTAAAACTAGCTCTTGCCTCATATTCATAACTATTTTTCTAAAATCCTCGAAAAACCCTGACCAGAGCCTTAAGGGGATAGAAACATTGAAATTACCATTTTTATCAATTAGAACTTTATCTTTAGGACACCAACCAGCATTTTGCATAAGTTTACTTTCGTTTTCATTGAGAGGAAGATAATTTTTTAAGGTAGAAACTAAACCTACATTTCTTAGAGTCTATTGTGACACCATTTAATTCATACCTTAATTCTCTGAACAAATAGGCGATGCCATTATTAATAAAGTTAAATTTAGTGGGAACTTTTTTCTGATCAGTTAATATTCTACCCTCGATGTATAAGTAACTATTGCTGGGAAAAGTATATGCTTCTAAATCTTGAATTGGGATTCTTATTTCGTCGTTATAATTAAAATTGGAAAATGTGAAAGGTTGGTAAGAATGAAATTGATAATCCTCAATGGTATTATCACTAAATGGCAGACCTGTTACATTAAGAATTTCCATTATACTAAAACTTTAAATCCTAGTGATATTAAGAATTTTCTGTTTTCTGAAGTTAAAACAGTGCAATGGCTTTTTTTCTACTAATTGTTTCTTTACGACAGTTCCTTTTATATGGATGAAAGTGCCAAACCATTATCCACTTTTTCGTAAATGTAGGCGAATAGTAATAGTTTCGTTGTTAAAATTTACTAAAGCAAGGTGTTGATCTAAAACTCTAACGGTAATGTTGCTTATCGTTTTAATTGTAATTGGATAATAAAGTATTGTCAGGGGTTGCTCGACTATTTTATACCCATTTGTTACTTGGGGGAAAAATTGGTGTATAATATGCACTGGATTACCGTTTAAAAACGAGCCAATGGCAATATTTGTGTCGATACAAATCGTGTTTACTTTTAAAATATTTATCGAGTAAACAGAAGAGTGTATTATATTTGGTTCAAGCTTAATTTTAGTAAATCCAAATAAACTTCCTATAGAGTGATCAACTTCAAAATTTATCCATTCTGTACTCTTTATAGTTACTTTCGATGTTCTTTCATCAGGTGTAATTTGTGTTGTTATAATAGCAATTTGAAACATTTCTCTTTCTATAATTTTTATTATATCCGATATTTCATATGCACCTACTGGAATCTCATATCGAAATTCGTTGTTTTTACCCCAGACCAAGACATTATTTTTCTCATCAATATTTGGTATATTGTTAAACGTATCAAAATTTGCTAATCCTATTTCGTACTCGCCATCATTCAAGTATATTGGTGGATTAAAATCATCGCTTAGAACAGATGATTTACCGCTTAAAGTAAATGTATACGACATAATGGTTGAAAACAAAATGAATCATATATTACTATTATATTGATTATATAAAAATTTAAGACAGTACTGTCCACACTGGTAGGAATTATATTTTTGTACTACATCATAATTATATCTAATTTTAACTGAACCTCTACTTTTAAAGTATTGTACTAACTCTTTTGGAGGTGGTAAATTTCCATAACTATCAAAATATGTAACTGTGTTATGCTCTTTAATGTATGCAACTTAGTGGGTTCCTTGTTTTTCTTTACTATCAAGATTAATTATACCAGACTCATTTAGTCTAATTTTAAGTGGTAGAGAATCACGCATGTAAATACCGCGAAAATGCGGAATTTTTAATAAACGCGCATATTTGTTGAGATCAATGTTAGTCATAATGTGTCGAGGTAATTTTAACGGTAGTTTTTTGAATACGGTTTTAAATAAAACCCCATTACTGTACGTTGTTTTTTCATCCCATACCCTTTGTATGGTCTTAAATAAAAGCCTTTTCCTGTTTTTGCAGCTTGTTCTAATGCTAAATTATGTCTTTGTTGTTCAGCCAACTGTTGACGGTTAGCTTTGGGGTCATTTACTGCTTTCGCTATTCCAGCAGCACCTCCACCAACGGCTCCAAGCGCTCCTAATAAAGGTAAAAGAAATGGTAAAAATCCACCTTTTCTGGGGGTAGAAATAACTCGTTTTTTCTTTTCGCCTTTTTTTAATTTTCGATTAACTTTCTTCGATCTCATACCCATTCCAAGTTTACGTTTTGCTTTCATTCCTGTGGTAACTAACCAAGCCGCAATCTTTTCACCTAACCTTGTGTCTTTCGCTTTAACTCTTTCCCAAGATTTATTTTCTAAAATTTTATCAGCACTATGTCTTTCACCAAGTTTTTTAGTTTGGGAATAAGCAATATCGTGTCCTTTACAGGCTGCGTCTAATTGGTTAATGCCTCTATCACTTCTTTGTAATCTCTTATTAAGTTGAGGCCCAGGACCACAGTAAGAATACCCCGGAATATGTAATTCAATTGGTAGTTTGTTTATCAAAGAATTTACTATTCCTCTTCCTCTTCGAAGTAAACTAATTCGCTTACGTTTAGACATTAAACTATTTATATATACCTTACCCTTTATATAATATATGTTTGTAACTCTATTATACCTTCAGTTTACAAATAACATACCCATAATGAAGATTGAGAAACAGAAAATTTCGTTACCTGTAAAAAATTACGACATTACAAGTCAGACTTCCATAAAACACAACATATTTGGCGGAGATGTAAAGAGAGGACTTATTGTTGGTCCTAGCGGATCAGGAAAAACAAACGTCATGCTCACTCTTCTAGAACACCCTAACGGCTTAAGATTTGAAAATGTCTACCTATATTCAAAATCCTTAAAACAACCAAAATATCAATATTTACGTGCTTTGCTGGAACCTATTCGAGAAATTGGGTACTTTGAATACAACAACAGTGAAGATATACCATCCCCCGAAAACATTAGAAATAATTCAACTATTATATTTGATGATGTGACATCTTGTGCTCAGAACATTATCAAAAATTACTTCAGTTTTGGAAGACATAAAAATACAGATTGTTTTTATATATGTCAAACCTATTCAGCTATTCCAAAACAACTCGTCCGGGATAATACCAACCTTTTAATTATTTTTGTACAAGACATGACTAATTTGAAACATATTTATGATGATCATATAATCGATATGAGTTTCCAACAGTTCAAAGATATCGGTGCTTCTTGTTGGAACGATAAGTTCGGCTTTCTGGTAATCGATAAAGACTGTGATTTGTCCTCTGGAAAATATCGAAAAGGATTCGATTCATATATAAAGCCGTGATAATACAAAATATATTAGTTACAATGTTACAATTGGGAAAAGAACTTCTTCATTCACGACAAGCTATTAAAAGAAAATTTAAACTTTATAAGCAACAAAGACAAAAGACTCAGAAACAATATCGAGAACAGTTAGAACCATTAGTAAATCCTATCCAAGAATTATTTTATAAGGCAAAACCTCTAATTATCAAAAAGGAATTAAAAGTTGAAAGCCCCAACACTCCCCAATCAAAATACTCTAAGATTTTTCCAAATTTAAGTACTCAAATCGAAAGAATTTGAACCTGTTATTGAACCTGATTTAAATGAAATTTCCACCTTCAATGAGTTACCAAACTTGTATTTAAATAAGTTTCATCCTTCAATTAGAGAATATATAGAAGGAAAAATTAGTGATACAGAAAATGCTTATGACAATACATTCGGTGTTTATTTTAGCCCCGAATTTCGTGATTGGGCTATTGGTGACTCACCTATAATATTCAAGGAGAGTGGTAACGTAGAAGTCAAAGAAAAAGAATACGAGGGAACTAAAGGTCTTTATGAATTACTTTTTAAGCAAAATCCTATAGAATTTACACCACAGGATTCAAATAATTATATAAATATTATTAAGAAGAGCAACGCACAGTTTTTGGGCTATGATCCATCAAGGGGTTTATCGACTTCAAATGCTAAAAAGTTTGTAGAAATTATTAAACCTATTATTGAATAAAGAACACATGAAAAACAGCAGTCAACAATTCTGGAAACACCAAAACGTAATTTAAGATTTGGAGTGAGGGTAGCCGTATGTGAGTAGTAGGGATTAAGTGTAAGGGGTTAAAGAAAAGGTCCTTTATTTCTCACAAGTCAATTTAATTGGCGACCGGTTTCGAAGCTGTCACTTCATCATCATCATCATCATCATCAATAGTCAAGGTGTGCCTGATGATGAAGTGACAGCTTCGAAACCGGTCGCCAATTAAATTGACTTGTGAGAAATAAAGGACCTTTTCTTTAACCCCTTACACTTAATACGTAATTTAAGAAGTAAAACTTCTAAAACAAACCTCATGGAAAAACATGGAGAAGGTTTAATGGATTTTAATAACAAAAAAGTGGAATACAAATATTTTGATGATTTTAACGAGTTGGTTGACAGACTACGCTTGCTTATGGCGTCTCAAATGGCTGGTAATAATGCACACCACAACGAAATAGTTTCTATCATAGAAGAACTACGGGAAGGTGGAATAATCTTATAAATACATATTAATTTAAACTAACATTCATTTTAAAACATGCCTCTCAACAAGTTCAATCAACATTACTTATCATCTACATCTTCTGATGAAATTGTTTCATCTATCCCAACATCATCATTTTATATTTGTCAACCTTATAAATATCCTAGTAAATGTGTACTTACTATTCATGGGCATAAAGGTCACGATGGTTTCTATCGACTAGATAATAATACTAGTAAATATAAAATACCAATTACCGGTAAAGTTGAAAACATTTAATGTTATCCAACCAACCTTAATGTTTTATATAAAACAAAAAGCGATAATATAGAAAAGATATTAAATTCAAATATTATAAATAAGGGTGACATACTTCAATTTAATTAACTTCTACTTCAGATGAACTTTTTGTTGAATTTATAATTCAATGTCCTTTGGAAAAAGATAAATAATGAAGATTCCTGTTTATAGCATCATTTTAATAATGCCTCTCAACAAGTTTAATCAACACTACCTCTCTAGTGGTGATGATGAGGTTGTTTTATCCCCACAATTAAATGCTCCGTTTTATTTTTGTGAGTCTTTTGACTATCATGTAAAGTGTCTGCTTCGTTTGAAGGGAGAGAAAAAAACGAGCTTAAATAAAGAATATTACGTGTTGGATAATGGTGGCATTGCTTTTAAGTTTCCTTTATTCGGTAAAATTGATAATGTTGCTCATTACAAAGCTGATGGTGATGTTTTAGTAAATCAGCTTAGTTACAAATTTCATGAATTAGTTAATATAAACATTATAAAAGGGGACGTTATTAAATTCAAACTTGGTAAACCTGCTTTCATCTGCATTAAAATAGTACTACAGTGCCCTCTTGTTAAAAATGTCTAAATTGCGAGTTGTTGAAGAACTTCATAAACCAGCTCGAATAAATTATTAAAGACGTCATGTAATCGTGAAAGGTTTAAACGATTTAATTCAAGCCGATTTGGCTATTATGTCGCAGTTTTCAAAAGAAAATGGTGGTTATAACTATATTCTTGTAGTCATTAATGCATTCAGTAAATTTGTGTGGGCACTACCTTTAAAAACAAAAACTGGTAAAGAAATTGTTATTGCTATGAAAAGTATTTTGAATAAAATGCCCCCGCCTAAAAATCTTCAGACGGACAATGGAACAGAATTCTATAATAAGGAGTTTAATCAATTAATGAAGAAACATGGAATTAACCATTATAGCAGTTTTTTAAATTTGAAAGCAAGCATCGCCGAGAGAGCCATAAGAACTCTAAAGTCTTTATTGTGGAAACAATCCAGTTTACAGGGTTCATATAAATGAACCTGACATTGTAAATACATACAATAATACGAGACATTCTACAACGGGTGCTATTCCCAGCAAAGTTAATCAGAGAAACGCAAAGTATATTATTGCATTTAACTACTTAAAAACCATTGATAGACGCAAACCTAAATTTAAAGTTGGAGATCATGTTCGAATAAGTAAATATCGTAATGTTTTTAAAAAAGCATATACTCCTAATTGGACCAATGAAATTTTTACAATTAAAAAAGTAAAATATATAAATCCAACTACATACATTTTGGAAGACATCAAAAAGGAAGAAATTCTAGGTGGTTTCTATACTGAAGAATTGCAAAAGGCACAATTTCCCGATATCTATTTAGTTGAAAAAGTTTTAAGGAGAAAGGGAAATAAAGTGTTTGTAAAATGGCTTGGAATGGATAGTTCACATAATTCATGGATTAATAAAAATAATGTTATATAACACTAAAATAAAAAACTTTTTTTAAATATGTATTTTATTTCTTTTTTCTAATACAGGATTAATAATTTTAGCAGTTTCTTCGATTCTTCTTTGGAATCTTGTTCTGTCGACGGCCACAAATTCCAAATATCTGGTCCTACATGAACATTTTGGTTCAATGTAGTGTATTTTTACATGGTCATTAAACTTGATCATTGAAAAGCTCTGGATATCTATAAAGAAGTTCTAGCGCCATACCATATGTGGTTTTATTTATATTCTTTATTGGTTCCATTATCTTGAGACCAGTTTCAATGGGATTGTTGGAATCAATGATTAATGATAGGGAGTATTTTCCAAAGCGTTGAAATAGAGTTGGCCCCCAAAATAATCTGTGTTACTTGTTGAAATTTTAACAGCAGTCATGCAGGGTAACTGCATAAACTCTAGTGTATATTTTTACCATCATCGATTGGTTGTTGGTGACTACCAGCCATGAAATTATCAATTACAATTTTATGTGATAGAAAGCTGTTCCACTCGGTTTCACTGAACATCACATAATCTTTTTTGTTTCCACTGATGACAACAGTCGGTTCAAACAATAGGTTATATGTTAAACACACCGACACAAACTTTGAGTTGGATGGGTTTAGGTAAAATCGACGCTCGCCCAAATACGGTACTATAGCTTCCATCGTTAAAGACAGATTAATTGATTTTGAATTCATATCATTGTTTTTCCGCTTCTTATATCCATCTTCCCCCACTCCTATGATGTCTTTTTATTTTATAAGAGCTTAGAATGTACAAGTCTGTGACCTGAGGTTATTGACATCAACCGGATATTGTCTAGACACCAGATGTTGACAAGAATGAACAAGTCTGGAAATGATTCGCGAAAGACAGGCCTAAGGAGTGGGGGAAGGTGTCACTTCTAAATTATAATTGACCATATAAATAGCGAGCGCATTCTAGAGATAGTCTAGTACCATGTTGGCTCCAAAGTTCATCATTTAACATGCAATTCTGGGGAATCTTCTTCTGGTCCAGCAGCCATTCAAAGCCAGAGAAGTTTTCATATGTTTTGATAGTAATGGCACATTGCATGAAATGGTCAAGAATGACAACATACGTGCCAAACAATATTCCAACTCTGCAATCCGAAATACCTAAAAATAGTTCTAGATATAAATTAAATATTGTACATGGTAATGGTAAGGCCGAATATTCCGATTGGTTGCCCCTTCATGTTGCACCCCAACAACAACCTGAGAAGATATCTGCTGTCATATATTATATTGCAACATGTTCAACTTTTTCAGCTATACTTCTGATATTAGAATTGTATAAGGTTTTAAATAAAAAGATATGTTAATATAGAGTGTTTTATTCAAATAAAATAGACAGATATGTATTATATTCAAAATCTGCTATATTAAACAAATCCTTTAATGGTATATCATCTAGCTCAACCAAATCTACCATGAGTTATGGATCCATTTCATCCATGGCCACAAGTAACTCATCCAAAGTAACTGGAGGATTAAGGAGTAGATGACCCCAGGCAAGAGTTTTTACATCACCAGGAATGACATCTTTTATCGTCTTGTTTCTCAATTCAGTGTATATTGTATGCATGTCAGAAACAAAAACATACATTTTTCTAAATATAGTCCATCTTTTACAATGCGAACATAGTCACTCAGCTGGAGTTGGTGTTTGGTGATATGCTTGGATACGCCTTTTGCCTTTTTCAGCACCTTGTTGGCTTCAACGCAATAAGTTTTGGCGCCTGTACCATAAAAACTTTTAATTGGTGCCGATGCGAATTCATCCTTCATTTTACCAAGAATGGATGTTGTTTTCGGTATACCATAGATGTTATCCATTGGGTAGTTGGAGGTGTCAAAATGATGTAAATTTTCATTCATATCCTCGTAGAAGTTGGGTGTGCATATCTCGAGAATTAGTGAATCAGTATCTGTGTACAATAGGGTAGCATCTTCTCCGTATTTGCTTTTAATATATCCATAGTAGAAATCGTATATTATTGTTTTTGATATGTCCAAGACAGAGAAGCCTACGTACATGGGTTTGTCGTGTATAATTTTAGTTTTTCCTAAATGGACTGCCACTAGGTTGTCATTAAAAATGAAGCATGATTTAAATTCTGGTTTGGCTATTAGTGCTCTTGCTCCAGTTGATCTTGTTTTAGTTTGCCAGCGAGTACAAAGGCGGACATTTATTCTTTTCTCTATGTTTTCCATTGTCTTACCAAATATGGCGTTAACAAGGAGCTTGAACAAATCTTTCTCAAATTCGTTTTTTGCATTATTTCTAAGTGATGTATTTAAATCGATGTAATTTTTAAGCCATGGTGATTGATTAAATTTGAGCACTCGATGGATTTTTTAAGTTTTAAACCATGTCGAAGGCATTGTTTTAGATTTCTATAGTGGATAATATATTTGGTTTTATCATACAAATTTGGTATCAGTTTATTGTATTTACTTCCAGGAGGTGCTTTGCTTTCCGGACAGAAAGGTAAGTCATTATGAGCATCATGTAGATAGGCTGAGTATTCCAAATCTACTTCTAGAACATACCCCTGTGGTGATTCATCATCTTTATCTATATCAAAGTTTTGGATTTCGTTGTTATGTAACCATCTGAAACCACCATATGGTAGATATTGGCTCATTGCAGCACCATATAAATT